AGCAGCGACCCGGCCGGGCACACGCGGCAGTGATTTTTCGACTTGCTTAACAATGACATTCCACGTGCCGTGGGTCCTGAAAAATAACCCATCGGCAGAAGCAGCAGGTGCTAGGAGGCTGTTTGGCCTGGGGGTGGAGCTGAGATCGGCAGCTGACAAATGACAGGTACCGCGGCGGCCTGCCTTCTCTCCGGACGGTGCACGCGGCCCGCAGCGCTTAGCAGGCCTCTGAACGGGCGGGTGTTCTGCCGCCCCTTAGCTTTGTGCATGCAGGGAAGGACCTGTAGCGGCGCAGGCTTCCGCGGGTGCCGCCAGCCCATGCCCAGCTGCAGTACTGCCGTCGGAGCTGCTGAAGGGCCTGGTCTTGATGCGACCGGGTTAGATTTAAGCACAAATAGTCTCAATTTCTACAGATCTTCCCTGTATTCAAGTAAACACCCGTGTTCATGCTTGGCTTCTTGTAGAACTGAGTTCACGGACAGCTCAAGTCTGACATCTTCAGACTTGAGAGGAAGAGGGGAGATTTAATCTACATCCTTCTTCCAAGAACAGCGTTATTCATATGTAGTGGGTATTGGATACCTTTCTTAGTAAAACATCTCACTGAATATTTTATCGAGATTTCATATGTTTTATATAAACTTCTTATAAAGTTCTTCTACTGATTTTTTTTTTTTTAACTGAAGACTTCCATGCTACCCTTCTGCTACTGTAGGTATTTTAACTTTAAAGTTCTCCTTTATATAACTAAGGTTTAGAGATGGTAGCTAGCTATGTAGTGACCAGTTAGAACAAGCTCTCTGTACAATGTATATATGTTAAAGTGTCTTACTGACTGGAAATATACCACCTTATATCTCTGCCTCTGGAAGAAGTTACTGAGAAGAGCGAAAAGTGTAGAATTCTTAAAATACCACTGTAGACCACATTTTTCCCAGCATATGACAACAAAATTGGGCCAGCTAGTTGAGTGAACTGTAATTTTATTCTAAAGAAAAAAATGTGATGGGCCTTAATTTTGAAATAAATAATTTAAATTGTATAGGGATATCAGGGTTTGAAGGATGAGGAATCCGTATAAACAGACTTTCTCGCATGGGAAAGAATAGTAGCCAATTGATATCTTAGGGCAAATTGTTATGACAGCTTAAGCTGTACTGGAATGATACAAAGAAGATTTGGCTTCTGAATTATAATAAGAACCAAGATTTCAGAATTTTGAAAAATCTGACTATTTTAAAATCTAAGATGATGCCCATGCCAGTGGTTTCCTGTATTTTGTTAACTGTTAATATGTCTTTGTTTTTCCAGTGTTTATAATACTTTCTGGTACTATAAACTGTGTGGGAACTTTTACTAACTAGTAAACCAATACAGGCCTATATTCTAAATTGATTATAAATTTATTCTATTCCAAGCCAGTTTTTTTTCACAGAAAATTAATTCATCAGAAGAATGTGAACGGCTTGTTATCTAGTTTTGGGGTATCCAAGACAGAAGAGTCATGTGTTACTGGCTAAATTTCCTATGAAGAGGATATGGATGAAGCCACCCAATCCCACATTTCAATCCCAATTGATCTTCAGCAACTGAAATGATGCATTTTTGCCTTCTCGGTCAAATGTGAGGAAAGGGTTTCACATGTACAATCTTCACACATTTTTCTGAAAGCCAACTTGCCATATTGGATGGCTGAGTTTCACAAAACCAAGAATGAGTGCATGGAAAATGAAATTAAATAAGCAGTGTCACTGACAGATTGTTATCTATTTTGCTTGTACTAATGCTTGTAAAAATGAACAGGAAAAAAAATCTTTCAGCATTCTTCATTGTTCCTTCCAACCACTTTCAAAAAGCAAATTTGAAAATCATTTCTGTGGGTATGTATTTTCTCACTCTAAGTCTTGGCATTCTATTTAGGTGGAACAAATTCTTGCAGAATTTAAGATTAAAGCCCTTGAATGTCATCCTGACAAACATCCTGGAAACCCCAAAGCAGGTATGTATTCTTATGTGTTTAAAAACCATGTATTTTTTTCTTACATTAACATGACTAAGATATTAAATTCAGCCGTAAAACTTCATTAAATATTCTTTTCCCCCAATATATTTTAATTGTCATGTGTATTGAGCATATTGTCTTTAAATAGCAAGCTTTAATATTCTTTTCTAACACTTGCACACTCCTAGGTAAAAGAGCACAAAGACACTTTTTGGAATTTTTTTTTTTCCCTAGGATTTTAAATTTTTTTTCTTTCTGTGGTAGAGCATCTTTTAATCCAGAAATTATTTATGGAGCGTATGCCTTTCTAGACCTATGAGGTTGGCCTGCTTCCATGCTGAGTGGCATTCAGGTGCCATACTTGCGTCAACTACTTAATTTGCTTCCGTGAACAAGCCCATCAGGAACACATTAAATGTACTTTATTTTCTTTTAATGTAATTTAATGGCTGGAAATAAAGAGAAGCCAGCACCACATGAGTAGCCATCTGTCTGCAGAACAGCAGCTAACATTTGCATTGATGAAGGCACGCAGTTTACACCTGTGACAGCTAAGCAGCGCCTGAGTTACTTGGAGACAGCCTTACCCATTCATAACCACAGGATAGCTCTAATCAGTGCTCACCGATGCCTGAATAGTTTATATTCTTATAATAAAGGCTCTGCTGATCATAATTATGGTCCCCACCAAAAATTTGTTACAGAATAATTAAATATGCTTCTCATTTTGATTCATGCACAATACTTTTCCTTTGGATTCTTTCTATTATTTAACTGTAAACTGAACAGTGTAAGCATAAGCTGAACACCGTGGCCTACCTGCTTGTGCGAGTTTGACCTCATCCACACCCTCCTCTGAGACAGCAGAGCTCCGAGTACAGCAGATGTTAGATGAGACCCGCACTCCCATTGCCTTGAGCAGAGCTCTCAGCAGGGCTTGGCTTTCCTTATTGGTGTGCCATCCTAGCCTAGAATCAGAGAGTTGATGGGGGGGGGAGTTAAAAGGTGAAATAGGTGGGATTTTTTTCACTTTGAGATTCCCTCACAAGGAACCCCCTGAGATTTGGTGTTTGAGAGACAATCTACCACCCCTTAACTATAACCTGATCATGAATATTTCTTCTAAATGTTAGCACAAGTACCAATGAAACTAATGGAATCAACTTTGTCCGCAGAAAATTCTGGCTATTGCAGCAGGGAAACGAGAGACTGTTGCAGTTCATGGTCCTGTTCTGTCTGTACCACCTCCCAGTCCTGTTTTCCTCCCCTCTCCCACCCCCCCAATTAATTGAAACTAGGTAACTCAAAAGGGAGAACAAGTGCCAAATATTGGAGCAGCTTTGTTTGTCAAGAAGAAACATTTTATGCTCCATTTACCTGAACATGCCATATTTACATTAAATACCTTTTTACAGTACTGGTGAAAGTTTACTTTATATTTTTTATTTCCTCAGCTTAAAGCTCAATAGACCTTTTATTTGTTGAAAACTAGTAACTAGAAAAAGGAAACCTAATAGAACTGCCCCCTCAACCTGTTGTCTGTTGTTTGATTTATAGTTATCCATTTTTATTAGTGTTTGGGCTTAGTGTATGTCAAAAGAAATCTCTCTAATTTGTAAACTGGAATAAATTAATAATAATAATAATAATAATATCACAGTAACATAGGTGACTCGTAGATAAAATCTAAGTCTTTGTAGCCCTTCCACAAATAGTAACATGCAGCTGCATCCTTAGTAACCATTTAATGAAAAATTAACAAAATAGGGAAAAATAAGAGCTCTCTTTCATGCAGTCTGGTATTCAAGACAACTTTTTAGCCTGTGTAGAAAGCACACCTAATAAAATGCACAAGTTACTTGATTTGAACTATATTTAGGTTCCTCTTCTTGCTTGTCAATTTTTGCTTGTCATTTCTGTGCCCCATGGCACAACCCTCGCCCCGCATTTTCTTGGTGTCGTCCTTTGCTCTGAGAGCCTTGCTGCTGTGGATGTTAAGTGTGTTCCCTGTAAGTGTGCATTATTACTCCAGTTTAAGTCCCTTTTTAAGATTGTCTACAGGGGGCAACTTGGGCCTTTTGCGTGCTCTACTCTGTACGTTTCTCTGAACTTAAATTTGAGAGATTTTGAAGCTGGTAGACAAATGAGCATTTTTAGCCCTCATTTGAAAAGGATGTCAGTTGTCCACCAAAGGGGCTGTGATCCTAAAGCCAGCTAAAACTGTGCAAAGCTGTAAGCAGAACAACCACACACCTTGGTCACTTCGTTCTCCTTCTGGCTCCTCTACTCTGTTTGCTCTAAGCCATTATTGGCAGCTCCCCTTTCACATCAATTCAAATTTCTTTGAAAACAAATACTGGCTTTATTATGTCTTTGGTTTGTATTCTAGTGGAGAATTTCCAGAAGCTGCAGCAAGCAAAAGAGATTCTTACTAACGAAGAGACTCGAGCGCGTTATGATTACTGGCGACGAAGCAAAATTACTATTCCGTTCCAGCAATGGGAAGCCCTGAGCCATTCTGTGAAAATGGTTGGTGTTGTCTAAATTTGGGCCTTCAGGAGGAGGGGGAGGTAGGGCTGGTCCAGAGAAAACGTTGCAGTGAGGGAGGGGATGAGTTACAACACTTCTGCTGCAGTGGTGGGCTTTGGGGGTGGGAATAGTGCAGAGCGATTCCTGCACCAAGGATATCAAGGAAATGCAGTAAAAATTGGAGGGCTATAGAAGCCCGTTCACAGAAGGGTTTTAGGCTGGTAGTTTTAGAGTGAATTTGTCAAGTTGCTGCTTTTATGTGTCTTACATGAATTTCAAGTAACTTAAAGACTTTTTTTTTTTTTTTAAATGCTTCAGCACACTTTGCTTTTGTAGGAACCTTTTATTTATTTTCAAAGTTAGAATCATTGTATATATATTCTCCTTTTGGTATATTGCTTATCAGATAAGTTTTCATGTTATCTGATTAAATAAAGAGCTCATTGAAAAAGCCAGAAGATGGGTTCCTTGGAACTCTGGGCTTCACAGAGGTCTTTGCAGGGGCCCTCCTTGGCTACCGGGGTGATTTGTTGACAGTCTGAGGGTTGTTTTCCCTCCTAACTTTGCTAGTGAGATAATTTGGTAGTGTGTTCCCAGTAGATCCTAATTCCATATGGTTGATTTTTTTTTTTTCTGGCTTATTAGGATGAATGATAGTTACATGTCTATATGATCATATTTTAAGGCAGGTGAATAAATGTTTCCCTTGCCAATTCTGCCCACCTCAATTCTGCTTGTGTGAGAAGTTTGAGATCCTCTTCAACTAAAGCATTACGTCTGAGTTAAAATGTTTGCCAGAATGTCTTGGTTTGAAAGACAGG